TAGGCGTCGTAGTCGATGGAACCCAAATACCGAATGTGAACCACCCAAAGATTTTGGGGGTCAGCTTTGACAACCTGTTTACCTCCTCAGCTCATGCTACTGTAATCATGCACAGATTGCGAAGTAGAAACAAGGTCCTCAAAGCGCTAGCCGGCAGCACTGGGGGTATGGACAAAGAAACCTTGTTGGCTATCTATAAAACTATTGGCCAGTCAGGAAACGAAGGTCCTCCCAGTCAAGGAACATAATGTCATGCTGACTAAACAGTTCCTCCTGGAATGTCACCGGAGGAGCCATCCCAACTTTAACATCTCACAGTTGGATGCTCCCCCGAGGCATGTTAGGAAAGACCTTCCTGTATACGAGGAGAGCATACGAAGATATGGGCAGGATTCCTTGGATCGGAGTTCGCATACAGCAGCTTTGGACGACATTCATAGAGACGCCATCAATACCGCGGTTTCAGGTTACCGCATGAATGACGTTCTTGGAGGTCGCCCACCGCACATAGCAGAAGTAGAGAAGAACCTGCCGCGGAAAACAAGAGTTGCTCTGGCACAACTGATATCGGGATGAAGCAACAGGCTCAACGCCTACTGGTCCCGCATAGACCGTTCCGTCCCCAATATATGTCCAACTGTCCAGCCCACCCTAGTTCACTTATCCCAATGGATTTAAGAACTAACCCTATTGAAGTAGCCCAATTTCTTGACTTGGACCTTAATACAGAACCCCCGGATTAAAAATTGTATAGTTTAAGCTGTTACAACAACAAGCGATCCCATGTCAAATCAATTCAAAGAAAGGCCGAGGAAACATTTGATCACCATCAGTTTATAGTCCCGGCAGACAAGACGTACTGGTAGCACATCTTTTCACCGGTATGGAATCTTTCATCAAGGAAACATGTCCCCGAGGAGACCAATCAGCACTGAATTAAATTGATTGAGTCCGTCCGTCCTACCTTAAAGTAGCAAGTACTAATTAACTCAGAATCACATTTTGATTCCATCTTCGGCCGCCAATGAACGAAGTCTTTTTAAAATGGAAATTAAGGAAAACATTGGTCTATTATTTCACTTAACCCTCATACAAGCGGCTCTTCGCATCTGTTCTTTTTAGCTCATAACTATGTTAAATATACTAGTATCTCTTTAAAACTTAAGTTTTCATAATGATCGGACTCATTTGAGCTTAGACCCCCTGCAAAATCCTCCTTAGAAATTTACGTAAACGCACAAAGCGAATTACCGCACAAATGTCGAATTAAATTTCATAGCGAATACTGATTTCGACGTTAAAATAAACGAAAAATATATAAGATTTCTTAGTCGATATCGGATTCCTTTTTAACGATAAATTTTTCGCGAATGTTTTAATTCGGTCCCAGATTCTGTTGCAAAATTTTATGGTTAATAAATGCATCATCTATGAATTGTGAAACATTACGAGTTACTGAAACAGCTTTAGCGGGACGTATGCGTTTTACGCCTAATGGAAATGTAGAAATTTTTAATAAAAAACCATAAAATTCTAAAATGTTACACATATTCGAACATAGCCAATAGTATAAAACCATTAAAATTTCAAGCTTCAAGTGTATTTTTTTTGTATTCACTACCGGCCATACAACTTCCTCAATTTCCTTTCAATAACCAAGTAAAAGCAAAACACAAGAAGTTACAAAATAAAACAATAAATTTTTTTTATCAAATTATGATTTGTTTGTTTCTTAACAATTTTATAGGTTTTTAATATTTTTGTTTAGTGAACAATTTATGAACATGCATAAATTTTATGTTTCCTGAAATGCATCACACCTAAAGTTAAAAATTAATATTGAATTTTCAACGTTATTGATACAATCAATATAATACAATAACATACAAACAGTCAGTCAGTCACTTATTCAGTTGACTGTAAAAATACGTGATGTACTTGAAAAACTTCATAAAGTTGAAACTCACAATCAAGAAAGAAAAAAAAAAAAAACGCCACCATGAAAATGTTTTTTTTTGTTGGTGTTAATAATTTTGTTTTAAATTTATTGAATCTCTGTGTAAATAATTGCATTTTTTGCTTATAAATCACTTTAATTCAACTAAAAAAACCTTAAACTGCCCAATTTGGTTATAAATTAAAAACAAAACAATGAATTTGTTTAATAAATAAAAAAATAAACATTTTCATGTAATAAAATTGAGTTTTTTTTTTTTTTAAATGGCCTAACAAACCATAAAAGGAATTATTTGTTTTAACAAAAAAAAAAAACTCCTTAATAGTTGTTTTTGTTTCTATTTTTATAAAAAAAATCATGATTATTTTTATAACAAAAAGTTTATATTTTGGTGTTAAAAAAAACTTTTAATTTCTTTATTACCAATTTTAACAAAATTGCATGTTAAGAAATTTTTGTTTTTTAGTACTTTTTTTGTTGTAATAATTGTTAACAAAGTGTTTTTCTTTTTTTGTGAAAAAAAAACTTTCGTTTTCAATTTCAGCCATTTGGAAAATATTAATACATATTTGTGTTAAGTTTGCAGTTTGTTTTTTTTTTTTTTTTTTGTATTATAAAAAGCCTTTTAATGGAATTTTATATTTTTTTAAAGAAAACGTTTATTATTTCGTAATAATTTTTGTTTTTTTAATTAAATTAAACTATTTTTTTCAATTATTTTTTAATTAATTAAATAACAATGTGTTAAATTTAGCGTGAATTTTTTTAATGATATTCTGATTAATTTCAAAAAAATGTTTGTGAAAATGATGTTAATAGTTGGAGCTGTTGGATTCTTTAACTAAAAGTGTAATAATTTCTTTAAATTTGCGTTAAGTGCGTGTTATAACATTATTGAGAAGAAATGTAATAAAAAAAATATTGATTTATTTTGTAATTTATTTACTTTCTACCCTACACCACTATAGTGGGGAATGTATTATGCGTTGTACGATGTACAAATATTGAATATATCCTATACCCGCTTTAAGTTTAACAATTGGCTTAAAATCATTCTCAGTCGATTAAACTACATGTCTGTCGGTATGTCCATGTAAACCTTGCGCTCACGCTACAGGTCGCAATTTTCAATACAATTTGGTGACATTTGTCACATACTATTGAAACAAGGACGAAACATTTTGAAAATGGCTTCAAATGTCCATTATTTCACTTAGCCCCCATTCAACCACGTACCCCCCGAACATGGGTTTAAAGCTCATAATTATGTTAAATACTCTTGTATCTCTATTAAAATCAGCAAAACTTAGTTTTACATAAATCTATATGATACTGCTGATTTTCGTAATGATCGGGATTTACTTGGACCTAGCCCCCATACGAAGTCCTATTCAGAAGATGATTTGAAGTTCAATAATTTACTTATAAATACAAGTACCACGATGAAATTCGACATAAATAACTTTAATGTAAACATAAAACACAAAAATTTATGAAGATAAGCCCATATTTAGGTTCTATTGCCATTATTTAGGTTCTATTGCCATTAGTTAGTTAGTTAGTTAGTTAGTTAGTTAGTTAGTTAGTTAGTTAGTTAGTTGGTTAGTTAGTTAGTTAGTTAGTTAGTTAGTTAGTTAGTTAGTTAGTTAGTTAGTTAGTTAGTTAGTTAGTTAGTTAGTTAGTTAGTTAGTTAGTTAGTTAGTTAGTTAGTTAGTTAGTTAGTTAGTTAGTTAGTTAGTTAGTTAGTTAGTAGTTAGTTAGTTAGTTAGTTAGTTAGTTAGTGGTTAGTTAGTTAGTTAGTTAGTTAGTTAGTTAGTAGTTAGTTAGTTAGTTAGTTAGTTAGTTAGTTAGTTAGTTAGTTAGTTAGTTAGTTAGTTAGTTAGTTAGTTAGTTAGTTAGTTAGTTAGTTAGTTAGTTAGTTAGTTAGTTAGTTAGTTAGTTAGTTAGTAGTTAGTTAGTTAGTTAGTTAGTTAGTTAGTTAGTTAGTTAGTTAGTTAGTTAGTTAGTTAGTTAGTTAGTTAGTTAGTTAGTTAGTTAGTTAGTTAGTTAGTTAGTTAGTTAGTTAGTTAGTTAGTTAGTTAGTTAGTTAGTTAGTAGTTAGTTAGTTAAAGGAGGATGTATGTTACATCAATTCGAAACACCTAGGCCTCCATTCGTCCTGCTTCTGGTGGGATTCGAACCCACCTCCCACATTGCAGATCTTTCCTATTTCAAACTTGAACATTCTAAAATTATAAACCGCTTTGTAAATCATAATCGTTTAATCAAAAAGTAGCTAGATCTGTAATTTCGTCTAGTAGAATAAAGGTCGACCCCATACTTCATACTACTGAACAAAAATCTATATAAAACGTACTAGAACAAACTTGCTCAACAATATCTCATATATCTGTCTGAAAACACAAATAACTCGATCTGTGATCACTGTACGAATAAAATAAAATTTATTTTTATTAAAATGAATTTGATCTGTGACTCAGAAAATCCATCTGTGATCACTCAGTGATCTCTCAAATTCTTGCACACTCTTATTCCAAACTTAATTAATATAAAATCCTCAAGAGCTCCATGATTAAGCATTTGATCAAAAACGGCTGTTCGATACACAGAAGAAATCAATAGCTTGAAAAAATCGTTTAAAAGGTAAAAGAACATGATCTATAATATCAATTATGAGGTAAACCATCTTGTTGTTTCGATAGGACTTCATTCTCGAGTTCTGTAACAGGTTATGTTCACTTATTTATACAATACTACGAAAAATGAGCTGATCAGTCCATGATAAATAGTAGATCTGATATCACATGATCTTTAACAATTTGAAAATAATTTAAATTTTTTTTTTAAATTTTGAAGAATTTCCCATGTCATTTAAAAAATTCCAATTTATATATGAACTTTGTTAGAAACTCTAGTGGTAATCGCACTCGTGAACTTCGGCCTGATGAACTAAAATTCTGTTGTTTTATTATTAATTTTTTCCTAATTCCAAAACACAGTGATAAAAAACTAAAAAATATTTTTTTTAATTTACTCATTTTAGATGCCAATGGCCACATCATTAGACAAGGATGCCATACGTGAAGCCTATGAAGATGTACGATCTGATCTCACTGACACAGAATGGTAAGTAATCAAACTCAAAATTGACAAATTCAAGTCCTTTAAAACTAAAGAATTTCTTTTTCATTAGGGCCGTTTTCAAATTCGATGGTGCACAAATAATTTGCTCAGCCCGTGGTCAATGTTTCGAAGAGTTTCGCCAGCAGTTTGGTGACAATGAAAGAGCCTTCGGTTACATACGCATACAAATGGGCGATGAAATGTCCAAGAGAAAAAAGTTTATATTCTTAACATGGATTGGTCAGGATGTGGGTGTTATACAAAGAGCTAAAATGTCCACCGATAAGGCTATTATAAAGGATGTCTTAAATGTGAGTAATTAATAATTCCTTGTATATTAAAATATATACAAATTGAGTTTTTCGTTTCTTTTTTTTAGAACTTTGCTGTTGAACTTCAAGCAGGTGCTGATACTGAATTGGATATTGAACTGTTCCGTGATGCTTTAAATCGTGCCGGTGGTGCTAATTATGGTACTGGTGTTCGTAATTTTTAAATTTCCCCCATGAACCTAAAATCAACAATTCTAAAAGTTCTCCTACATATAAAATTTCTTTCTTTCAATTTTAATATTTAATAACAAAAACCTCAAGACAAGAAAAAAAAAAAACAGAACCAATTTTTATAAAAATGCAACTTTTAGTGTTATAAAAAAAAGAAAACATTTGAAAAAAGTTTCTTTTTCGTTTTTAAATATTAAACAGTTTTTTTTTAAGCGTAAGAAAGCAAAATGTTGCAATAAAAGTCCTGATTAGCTTCTAAGTGTATTTAAGACATTAAATTTTTTTAAATGATACATTTTTTATGTTTATGTTTTGTTTGAAATCATTCAATTTTGAATTTTTCGTCTTTTTCAATATTTCACTTTTTTTGTATTTTAAATTTCCTTTAAACTATTATTAATCGATACTTATTAATAATAATTTCGCAATTGTATTCTTTCTCATAATTGTAATATTTTATGGTATTTTTAATGAAAAGTTCTCTATTTAAAAAAATGTATTTTTAAATAAAAATTTAAAATTAAAAGATTAATAATAAAAAAGTCAAATAAATTCTAATGAAAATTAAGTGTTAAAGGTGGTTTTATTTTTATGAAAAGGTTTACGCCTAAATCTAGAGATAATTTTCAAAGTTTTAAACTTTTTCGAACATAAGATCGAAATTTTTTCGAAATTAAGTTCGAATTTTCAAAATTTAGGAAAATACCTCAAAAAAGCTTAAATTCCGAGACTGCATTGAAAATCCTTTTCAAAATTTATGAAAACTTCGAACATTTTGAAGTTAAAAATTTAAAAATTTGGACTCATACAAAACCGAAATTATATTTTTTCACGAATCCTTATGATCCAGAGATAATTTAAATAGTTCTAAAATTTTTCGAACATAAGTTTGAAACTTTTTCGAACATAAGTTCGTATGTTTTAGATTTTCGAACATATCTTAAAAAGCTTATATTCTGAAACTGCATTGAAAAAACTTTAAAAATTCATAAAAATTTCAAAATTATTCTCAAAATTTTTGTTCGAAAGTTTGAAATATGCAAACTACTATAAGAACTAAAACTATAGTTCTAGGAATCCTCATGATTTTAAAATCATTTTATAAATTTCAAAAATTTTTAGACAAGTTCGAATTTTGGATTTTTTTTTTCAAAATTAAGTTCGAATTTTTTACATTTTCGAACATAATTGAAAATACTTACAGTTGCGTTCAAAATAATAGGAGTGAAAATTTCAAAAATTTTAAATATAGTTTTTTTAGTGAAAGATTTAGGTTTTTAATTAAATATTTTTATAATTTATTTCTTTAACTTGTTCTCTAATTTTTATAATCGTTATTTTAAATATTTAAAAAATTTATTTAAAAAAATACATATTTTTTTAAATTTACATACAGAATATATTGCTCAAAATAATAGGAGTATTCGATTTAAGTTCAAATATTTTTAAAATAAAAACAAAAACGAAAGGACTTTCATCTAAAATATTATTAATTAATGTGTAGCAATACAACATCAGTCATTTTTGTCAAGATTTTATTTAGAATTTGGGAATATGAGCCTCCGGAACTTAATGTTTTTCCGACAACGGTTTTGAGGGGCTTGATGACACATGTCGTGGCCGATTATCCACAAATATGCAGTAATTTATTCAAAAAACCTTAAGAGACGTTATACGAGAGGTCTTTTAACATTTTGCTTTGGAATCAGTAAGTCGAAAACCATGTAATGGCCTATTTCCTATGGAACGAGCTTTCACCAATTTGGAATCAATAATGTTTTCATACGACAAAACCGCCATTTTATCAAATTTGTTTATTGGGAATATGAGAACATATCTTGGGGTAATATGTTTATCTACAACATTTGGTATACGATACCATTTTAAAATTTATTACACCATAACCTTTTTGTCAAGACCCATCATAAATCATTCCTATTATACGACTTCTTTGAAAGTTGGTTAGAGCTTAATATTTTTCGATTAATGGAGTTCAAATATATTTTCAGAATTCATTTAGATTTGAAAATGTAATTTGTTGTCGTATTTATGCATTAAAAATTCATCCATGTATAAACCATCTCTAAATGCGTTACTTGACAAACTTTATTGATTTCACTATATGCTTTGTGGTCTGAAATCAAATTTTTTCAAAAATATTTTGTTCAAAAATTGATCTCAACTAACTGAATATTGATTACGATGTTTAATAACTACAATTTGGCATAGTTTCACTAATTTAGGACGTCCTAACGGGATTAATTTTAAAAAAATGATAAGCGCTTACGCCAAACGTTTATCATTTTTGAATAATTTATCATGTTTAGTTTTTATGAGAGATTTTAAAACATTTGACTTCATGAAGTATTCAAATATTCTTTTAATGAAATTAGCTTGAGATTTTTAATTTTTCTTTTCGCGATATTTTCATAATTTTGAAGATATTTGAACAGATTTAATTTTCGTCAATTCTACCATTTTCTTTCAGGATTTTAATGAAATAATTGTCAACTGTGCTTAAAATTGCTTCAAATCATTTAAATATAAGAGTTCTCTTTAATCTTTTTAATATTTACAACGAATAATGGAAATTAATCTAACTTAGTTTAGAAAATATACAGTACTCCTATTTTTTTGAACAGTCGTAATCGTATATGGATTTCGAAAAAAGTGAATAACAAAAAAACTAATGAAGCTATATACAAAATTTCTTTTGTTTTTTTATTTTAAACACTTAACAAACAAATATCGAGAAAAAAATATTGAATTTCCGTAAATGTTTCTTTTTAAAAATAAGCTGCACAATTATTTTTAAGTCTCACTCCTATTTTTTTGAACGCAGCTGTATATTCTGAAACTGATTTGAAAATACGTTAAAATTGCTGAAATTTTCAAAATTATTTTTTAAAATTTCTAAGTTCAAAATGAGAAGTGTAAAAAACAAAAATTTTGTTTTTCGAACTTAAAAATCTCATATTCTAAAACTGAAAATACAAAAAATTCAACAAAATTTTTAAAAATATGAATTTCCAAATTGTTCTGAAATAAAATATGAATCAATGCAATTTATAGATATTTTCAAAAGTTTTAAACATTTTTAAGAATCTTCAAAAGAGTCGTAAACATGTTTCGAACATAACTTCGAATATTTGAATTTATAGCATTATATTCCACCACTTTAAGCCTCTTAGTGAAATGGAAACTATTTCCAAAATTCAGTGACAAATTTTGTCAAAACTAAATGCTCCCCATACCTCTCAATAGTTCTGCTCTCTCACTCGCATCGACACATGCAATCAAAACTAGACGACTTACAACAAGAGTTGTTAAAGGTTGGTCTGAAAATTAACATTAGCAAAACTGAATCACTGCAAATAAAATCATTCAACGATAAAGCCTTTACTATTAACGGCCAAAACATAGGCAGCTTCTCATAATTGGGTAAATTCCTTTCAACCAAAGGGGGAGCTGAACAGGACACCCTAAGTGGCATACAGAAGTCCCGCACGGCTTTTGTCAAACTGCAAAGTATATGTCACTACAACTAAATTCCGAATATTTAACGCATGCGTGAGTGCTTCTCTATGGCTCAGAGATATGTCGAGCCACAGAAGAAATGAGGATAAAACTTCAGAGTTTTATAAACCGCTATCTTAGAAATATTCTCCGTAGATGGTGGCCCAAAACAATACCAAACGAAGAACTATGGAGAATTACCCACCAGCAGAGCATCAATGCCGAAATAAGTCAAAGGAAATATGGTTGGATTGAACACACTAATCCACGGTATACTTAACAAGGTACCAGCAGTTGAGAGAAACCGCACGATTGTCAAGTTTTTTTATATGGAGTTTGGTAAACGTGCGGTTTAAGCCTGTATACAAGTCAAGGTATAAAAAATTGTAAACAATGATCAGCTGGGCTAGTGATGTCACCTTGTATTCAGTACACCCTGCACTAATTATTCTGCATTTCGATTACATTTAAGCATTCGGATACTCACTGAACGAAGGTATTCCAACAAAAAACAGAATCGTAGGAAAAACAAGAATCAATTCTATATTGTTTCAATGCTTTACGTTTACGATACAATCGTAGATGCGTATTGACAAATTCTTATTTTAGTGACGAAGCGTCGACTCATAATACAAACATCAGCACAATAACTAAGTTGTCAAACGTAGAAAATTTCGATTCGAATTAAAATGCAGAATAGGGGTGAAAAACGTTTGTAAATAAGAGTTTAAACGATGAAAAGGTCAGTTTCAGGTAAGAAATCCTAAATTAGCAGGAATCCAATTGCTTCGTTTTCTTATCTTAAGAACAAGTTGTTAAGTAATTTATTTTAAAAATAACTCTCAGTGGGGCGCCTCATATTAAAAATCAACAACAGTTTAAAACAAACTGTCTTTCTGGGATAAAATAAGAAAAACCTTTTTCTACCAAACACATTTTTATTTTGTGTATATATTTTTTATTTTTTTGTATTGTTTTTTATTTAAATGTATTTATTATAATTAATTTCGCGTCTTTCAATACAACTATTTATTGTATTATGAATTAAAAAAAAAAACTTAAATGAAATAATAAAAAACTAATAATCTTCAAAGATTTTTTTGTTGTTTTCAAAAAAACTAAATAAAGCAGCCACCGTGGCAAGATCTTATAACATAAAGCAAAGATATAAAACTAATGGAAAAAAATAAACAAATATAAATAATAATAAAAAAGAATTACCTTTAAAAATCTTGAATAATTTTAGTTGTACATATTTTGAAGTTTTAAAACGCTTGAGTCTTGAGAATAATTAGGAAGTAGGTATGCAGTTGATTGTGGTTGATTAAAGTAGAATTTGTAGTAGATTAACTTAAATGATTTTGCATAATTTTAATGAATATTTTGGTTAGTTTATTGTTTATTATTTAATTTGTTAGTTTTTCTTATTATTTTTTGTTTGTTTTTGTTTTGTTCATTTAACACTAATGACGACGAAATAGAACTTTGTGTAGGGCATCGATATCAATTTCTAAAGGAGTTTTATTCGATGAGTGTAGACTGCAAAGAAAGAAGAAAGAGAACATAGACTACATTAAGTATTTGTTAAATGTTATAAGCATACAACCTGAGGCTCACCTTGACGAGCGTATGGCGGGTGCTGTTGGTTTGTTAGAGGCTCTAGGATTAACTAATAAACATTTCATAGGTTGACCATCCAGCTGACGATTGTGATAAGTATCTACAGCCTTTTCGGCATCGGCTAATGACTTGTAAATGACTTCGGCTACACCAGGCCGTACAATGCGTGAATCATAAAGTTCACCGATGTCTTCAAATAGTTCTTTAATGTCAGACTGATTGACACTGGTGTGTAAATTGCTGACAACTATGCGATAACCAGTGGATGAGGTAAACATACCCGAACCACCTCCGCCGCCACCCATAGAAGAGGAAATGGATGATGACGATGAAGGTTTAAGGGGATTTGAGAAAATGCCCATTGAAGCATGTGGATCAGGAGCACGCTCTAAACGTGAACGCATTTCATAAGATAAATGTGAGGTTTGTTCAGGTAGATAACGTCTGGAATATGAATCTGGACTACGTTCCCTTATGGAGCTGGAGCGTAAAATGCCTTTAGCCGGTGGTGCTGGTAAGTCGGGAGACATGCGACGTTCATGTCGTGTTGAATAGGGAACTTCATACACATCGAAGGGATCAAAATGTTCATTGGAAGTTGAACCCCAAGAATTTAAGCGTCTGGGAGCTGGTGGTGCCAATTCATAGGCCATATCGTTTTGTACAGTACGACTTAGCCTCGAAGCAGCGGCATATTCCTCTGTAAAGGATAAAGAGTTATAAAGCTGGTGTCGCCTATACTATTCCTATAGCCAAAGAATACTATCTAAATGTATTTGTAACAATTTTGTTTTAAATATTTTCTTTTCAATGGTTATTTCTTGATAGTACTCTATTTTCAACTAGCCCATTATAATTACCGATTTGTTGGCGTCTTTCGTCCCTGCTATGCCACCCAAAATACTCACCCTCTTCCATTTTCTCCATATTATCGTAGTCAACATAACCCCGTGGTATATCAAAATGATTTTCATGCCGCCTGTTGGTTATAGACGGTAATGAAGAAGTCTTATAATTGGAACTTTTTGTTTTTAAGCCTCCAGCTGGTATAACTTTACTAACGCCAACCGTTCTTCGGCCCCCAGAACCACCTCCGCCACCACCACCACTACTTACAGATCCACTGCCCATTTTACTGTATTTATATGTGGTTAATTCCTGCCTTTGCATTAACTTCTGCCGTACATCACCATTATTTCTTGTGATTTCAGCCAACTTATCACGAGCATCTCGAATTTTAGCCCGATTTTTTTGTATAATCTTGAGACGAGCATCGGTGATACGTCTGGCCTCCTTAAATACCGGCTTGTTTAGGGTCTTCCTAAGAGGCAGTGCTACTGGCTTCTTGATGCCACTAAAAAAATAAGAAAAGTTTACATTTTTCCACCACTTGTCTCACTTTCGATTTCTTTTCAACGCCATTTTCTTATTGTTTCCTTTTCATCATCATTTGTACTTACAATTTTTTTGAGGGCGCTTGTGTTATTTTTTTACTTTTAATTATATCATCTAAACTCATATCCATCCTGGCGTAGGTTTATTTTTATTGTTGTGGTGGTTTTTATTTATTATTTTATTAAATACATTCACAATTTTCTTTAGTTTGTTGGCAAAAACTACTCGATTTCTAAGGATTATGAAAAAAGTAGCGGTGCTTGCGGTCTTTTTTTTTCTTTTGATAATTATTATAATGAAGTTGGCTGTAGTTTGTTTATAATAGAGTTGCCAGATGTGAGAGATTAATTGCCAGAGCGTTATCGTAAATGTTATGACATAATTATTTGATGATACTCACCAATTCATAGTTTTTGGTGGATACTACGATAAATAATGTCGATTCTTGTTTAAACTCATATGAAGAACTTTTTATTCTGAATAAAAACGTCCAAAAAATTCGGCACCATTCTAGTTAGAGTTAAATATGACTTAAAATTTGGATTTTCTAACTATACAACAAAAGCCCAAAAATACTCCCTTTTTAAATATACATTTTGTTTAATTAAAGATATTAACAAAAATTCTTTGCTGGAAATTTTAAATTTTTCCATAATTTCAAATTAATATCAGTTTGATAGTTTATTTCTAAAATTTCATCTATGTGGCAACATATTTTTTATTAAACTAGACTGGCTATAATTAATGCCGATAAGGCAGTGTATACCAAATGGCAACACAGGACAAATAGAATGACGTAAATTTCAAGCATATTTGCTTTCTTGTTATATATATGAAAAGAAAAGCTTTAAAAAAATTAATTGTAGAATTATTTATATTATTTTCCACTATCATTTTGCAATTTCTACTAAAAATAAACAATTATTTACCAAAAACAACTATTGTATTGAAATAACATAATGTGGCAACTTTACACTTTAGATTTTATTTCAAAGTTGTCAGCACTGCTTTATGTAAACTTCACTTCACAGTTCTTCATTTATTTTGTAAATTGCTGTGAAAGAGTGAAAAACAATTTTTTGGAAGTGAAAATTTCAACAAATTTAATAAGATTTTTCTATAATTACTTTAAGAAAACAAAACATTAAAGCAATGGCTGTTTAAATTAATGAAAATTTTACGCAAACATAAAGTGTGAAACTGAAAAAAAAGGCATTTGCAAAAAGTCAAAAATAAAGGGAAAAAAATCTCAAAGAGAAAGTGTCTAAAGAAAGAAGAGAGTGAAAATATAAAAATAAATAATAGTCTTTAACAAAATAAATGCAAAAATTCAAAAGGAAAAGAAAAAATTAATTGCAAAATTTTCTTTTGTTAAATAATACAATTTAATGGGCAATGCTAAATCAAGGAATTATAATAAATCCAATAAAATTGAAAAACAAATTTCCAGGAATTTAAAATCAACTAAATTGACAACAACAGCAACAACGTATAGAAAAGAGGATAATAATAGTAACGTTGGTGGGACGACAACAATAACTACTACAGCAACTACTACAACTAATGCTGCTAATAGTACTGTGGGAGGTCCATGGTACGAGGAGGTTGGAAATAAAACAACAGCTAGTTCTAACAAAGCACTAAAAGATCCCCAACAACTAGCAATACAACAACAGCAACAACACTATAAACACAAAGCAGCTGATAATTCAGCTGCCTCAGCAGTAGCAGAGCAGCAACGTTTAAAACAGGTAACGTCAGCTTATTTGTTTGTGTTTTTATCTTGTTTTTTTTTTTTTTTTTCTTTATTTGTCACAAACAATAACAAAATTGGGTTGCGTTTTTAGGAAGATTGATAAAATAATTGTGAGGAGTGTAGAAAAATGGGGTTAAAAATGCAGTTGTCACAGTCAGTCACTAAATAATGCCATAAATATAAAAAAATAATACATAAAACACAAACAACAGCAATAAGCTAAGTGCAAATAAGTAAATGGTCAGTAAACCTTAACACTCGCAGCTTTTGTTTGTTTTTTGCTTTTTCTTTTTACATTGTTACTGCCAAGTATAATAACAATAACCCTTGTAAAAAGAAGTTACTACGTTTTAAAGGGAGTTGGGTGAAGTTTAAGAAACGTCAAGAGTTTATTGGCTTCAATAAATTTAACCTCACTTTATACGCCTCAAGCTAAATAAGTAAAACAATGCCGCAACAACACCCCTCCGCCACAACAACATATAATCATACATATTACTTTACTCAGTTTTTTTCTTTTTAATTTTTTTCTATTTGTTTTTGTTTGTTCAACTTTATTTTTGTTGGTATTGCTGTAGAATTTTGTTTTCAACGTGAAAGATTTTCTGTTTTTTTTTTTTGGTTTGAATAATAAATTTGTATGATTTCGTACATAGTTATGTTTCTGCGTAGTATGTACAGGTATGTGAAACAGAGAGAAATCATCGCCATCATCATCACCAACACCACCCTATATGTTAATCTTATAACAATGTCATTTAAAGCGACATTGTTGGGTATGAGGTGGCAGGGAATTTCAAAGGTCTTTGTTAGGTTTTAATCCTTGTTAATAGGTATTCATGTGTGTGTTTTATATAGAGTTAGTATTTGCAAATAGGTATGGGAATAAGTCGAATAATAAGTACCTACTACATTGGAAAAACAGTTATTTATTACTATTTTGCTGCTGCTTATTGCTGATAGTATTAATTAGTAAGTCATTAGGATAACTACGTGCTACCAATTTTAATAATTTTTAAAGAAAAACTTTTGTTTGGGTTGTCATTCGGTGAGTTTTTGCTTAAATTTGTGCACTAATTTTAAAATACTTAATAACCTAAACTAATATTCATATGAGTTTTGTAAAATATTTGGTATTAGCCTCTTGATTAATAAGAAAACTAATAAGAACTAGTTTCCATTTTTTATTAAAAAATCATTGAATTACTTATTAAACTTAAACAAATTCTTAATAGTTTGCAAAATCTTTTAATAAACCCCAATAGGAAACATAAACTGCTATGAATTATCAACTTTGTTTAAATTTTTTATTAAAAGAGGTTCAATTTGAAAAATTATTAATAATTTTTTAGGTTTTTTTTTTTAACAAAAATCGAATAATATTAAGAATTATTAAATGTGTTACAATTTTTTATTAAATATTATTTAATTACCCATTTAAATTAATATTTTGTATTCATTTCAGTTGAATTGTAATATATTCTATTATTTTTTCCTTTTGTATAGTGATTTAAATTCGTTTTATATCAACATCTTTTTGATAAATATCTACTGTTTGTTTTCTTTTTATGTTTTTGTTAGAATAAGAGTAATGGTGCGCAAAAATATTTTAACACATTTGTTCATACACAATTTCTTTATAAAATGTATAATAAACATATTACAAAAAGAAAGAGTATTTAGACCATCATCAAGACCGACTCTATAATACCATACACCGTTAATAAGCCATTGACTAGTTTATTGACTACTATAGGCACCATTCTGTTAACTAGTCGATGAACTGTTGCATGAACTAGTCAAAAGTCAATAGACTTGTTAAGTTTATTAACTATTCTATGGACTCATCTAATGACAGGTCTATTTACTAGTTTATGCATCTTAATAATAAGCCATTAATAGAAGAAATAGATTAGGACTTAAATTAAAACATTGGAAAGCAATCAACAAAGAGACTTTTCTGAATTTTATCTCAAGTTAAAGTATTGAAGTATTGTCCTTTTTGATGTAGGGAATCATTTGTATCGATAACAAACAGTTTGGAAAAGGGTTAGTCTTATTCATTGACTTTTAGTTTGATTGCAAATTTTTATATAAACAGACAGATGTATGATAATATGATTAAAAAATTTATTCTTAAAAATTAATGTTACAAATAGCAACATAAATGCATTATACCTTTCCTATAAAGGTATAGTACTTAAACATGCATAAACTCTTGTCATAATGTCGAAAAAATCATTAATTTTTTTTGAATTTTTTTCTTGATACAAAACAACATCTAATCTTTTTAAATGCTATTTACTTATTTTTGTTTAACATTTCTTTGAACAACAAAAATTTTCAGCCCCATTCAGGAAAATAAAGACAATAAAAATTAGAATTTAAACAAAAGTTTCTGGAATCTTATTAGAGATTAATAAAGGGCAAAATTATTCTAGAATATAAATAAAATATAATATAAAGGGAATACAATTTGAAAAAGAAAATGTTATCTTTACATACAAATAACTCTTGTATGAAGACTTTGATTAACGAAATAAATTTCATACAAAAACTTTATAATTTAATAAACGCACTAGTTAGTCTTCTTAATGTACTTATTTCTCAAATTTACAAAAAAAAAAAAAAACAAGTTTAATTTGTTAAAATTTGTTTACAAAAAAAGACAATTAAGTTCAATTACAGAAAATTCTCTAGAATTGTTACGGCATTATATTCTTAGTAGTATGTTTCTTTTGGATTTTTTTTTTACAATTCATTTTAATTATAATGAGTGGGAGAGTACATGACCTCAGCTATTATATGTATATGTAATGTTAGTTTTAATGATGCTCTAACACTTTTTTTGTACTATATTTTGTATAAATTAACTAAGCTGTTGGTTTATTTATTTTGTTACTCATTTGTTTACTCACTGACTGACTTTTTTTCTGTTTGTTTGTTTGAGCAATAATACTCTTAACAACATAGAGAACTAATAATATAATAACATTATTTAAAATAATGTTGTGTTTAATTTAGAATATTTTGCTTTGCAAAATTTTATTTTTTGTTATTCATTTAATTACAGAATTCTAGACAATCTAGTTATATTAGTTTCAATTAATACTATTTTAGAACTAGTTTTTTTTCATAAAACAATAGTAAGTTATAGTAATTTGCAAGACTAGCTTATGCTACGGAGTAAATTTGTTTTTTTTTTCAAGAGAAATTAGGCCTTTTGAAAAAGCTTGTTATTACAACAAATTATACTTTTAAAGATCTGTTTTTAATATACAACAGTATGTAAACTATTTATATACAAAAGTCAAGAAACTTTTTATTACTAAAGCTAAAAATGAGTAAAGTGTTAATCTAGTATCAAAAATTAATGGTTTCTACATGAGAGGACCGAAACAAATTAGAATTTTATAAATAATTTATTCAATTAGAAATTCAATGAGTTCTACTTTTTACTCAGTTATTTTGTAAATCATGTCATTTCACTGTAAAACTTTACTAACTTTTACAAAGTAGTACTTTTATGTGTTAAAAGTACAAAATTATTTTCAGCTTTATTTAATCTTTTGACTAATTTACTAACTAATCTGTGGAATACTCTAGGACTGGACAATAGACTTGTCAAGTTTATTAACTACTCTATGGACTCATCTATTGACAGGTCGATTGTCTAGTTTATGTATCTATTAATTAACCTAAGGACTAGTCTATTAACTTGATTATGTACTAGTACATTGACTATTCTATAGGCTAGTCGATTCACTATTTGGTGGACTAATCGATTGACTATTCTATGAACTATTCTATTTATAAATCTACGGACTAGTCTTTTGAGTAGTCAATAGACTAGGGACAAATCTTGGTGACTAATTATTCCATTCTATGAACTAAATTTTGAATAATTTACTGACTAATCTATGGCCTACTCTAGGACTAGGCTATTGACTAGTTTATTGACTACTATATGCACCATTCTGTTAACTAGTCGATGAACTGTTGTATGAACTAGTCAAAAGTCAATAGACTTGTTAAGTTTATTAACTATTCTATGGACTCATCTATTGACAGGTCTATTTACTAGTTTATGCATTAATCTATTAACTACTCTATGGACTAGTCGACTAATTTGTTTATGAACTAGTACATTGACTATTCTATGGTGGACTAACCGATTGACTATTCTATGAACTATTTTATTTATAAATCTATGGACTAGTCTTTTGACTAGTCAATAGACTATGGACTACTACTAGGCAGATTAGACTAACTATTCCATTCTTTGAACTAGTCTATGGTCTTAGTCTTAAGTCTAATTTCTAAGATAATCTTTGTTCTAGTCTATGGACAAGACTATAGAGTAATATATTGAATAATGAGTAATAATGTTAGTAAAAAAGTATTTAATATATCGTGTTATATGCTTGGCTCAAATTGTTTTTCACAATTGTTTACGAAAATTTAGATTTTTGAAAATTTTTCAAAATTTAATATGTGTAATTAATCCCTTAAAACATTTGCTCTAAGAAATTATGAAATTTCAAAATATTTTTCTCAACATTGAATATAATTTTATTAAAAACTTTTAAAAATAATAAAAACTTAAATACATATTACCTTAATAAAATAATAGTATCAATAAAAACGAAACAACAAAGAAAGTTTTATACAAAACCGGTTATTTTTGCGTTTAAAAGAAATAGATCGAAGTCACTTAAATAGATAAAAAGTATGAGTAAACAACGTTAAATATACAAATTATTTTTACTACGCATAATATTTAAAAACCCTTAACAAATGTAAACTTTGATAACTTTTCAAAAACGAAAATATTTTACATAAACAAATTTCTACTTTTTCTATAAAAATTATTGCTTCTTTTAAGTTTTTTTTTGTTTTGTTCAATCTCTTACGATATAACTTATTTCATTGTACAACAAAATTTGTTATAATAGTTGTGTTTTGTTGCTATCAATGAGTGTTAACGCTTAAAGT